GGAGATCTTGTCTCACAATAAAAACTTAAAAAGAACCCGGGGATAGCGCTCATTGCAAAGCAGCTGGGTTCAATCCTCAGTACCACAAAATAAAGAAACAAAAATAACGCATTTTATTCCTGAGCAGAGTAGATACTTTGATGAATTAAAAATAGAAAGCACTACTCATGAGCACTGTGTAAGGTTCTTTTTCAGAACTACTGTTGACACCACGCTAGTATATTTGCTTGTTTTGTGCACTTTAAAGTTCACTCAGAAATGTACTGTTGGAAAAACTAGTTTGAGTCTAATGAGATACATCATATGAAGAGAAAACAAATGTGAACTGTTTTCTTCTATTGAACTCATACACTCACAGAGCACTCCTGTGATGAGATGTGGGAGGAGGTCTCTCCACACAGCAAGCAGCTCTCTAGTGGACACCAGTTGGGCCTCCTGTAATTCAGTTTGATCCTGAACTATCCGCCTGGAGATAAAGTCAAATCCAGCCGGCTACAGTTGCAGTGCCACCCGAGTACTTCATGCAGATGCCGACTGGAAATAATGTCACCTGTGCTTCTGGCAGACCCACTACAAATCCAGTATTCCACTGCCCTTGCCTTGGGTTGGACTAATCTGCTGGAGTGATTCACAGGACTACAGGAAATATACAGATGAGAAGCCAGATGGGAGAGATGCACAGGTTGATGTATGAGGCCGGGGTGTTGTGGCATTTCTCTCCTTCTCCAGGTGGGTCCCATTTCTCATTTCCCCACATGCCCAGCACCCTGAGGCTCATCAGTATGCATGGGCCAAGAGTTCTGTACAGGCTGACCTCATCAAATACATTTCATGCTGTACCATACTCATAGAACACTATGATTTATAAGTAAGGAGATGTAACCCTTCTAAAAAACCACTACTGGGGCTGGGGATTTAGCTCAGCGGCAAAAAGCACCTGCCGGACAAGAGCAAGGTCGTGAGTTCGGTTCCCGGTACTGGAGAAAAACCCCAAAAATAATAAATAAATAAATAAATAAATAAATAAATAAAAATAAATAAATAAATAAAAAACCACTACTTCCATCCTAACATTGCACCTTACCTATGTTCACTCTACACACATGTGGATCAATAATAAACATAAATAATCTGATCCCCAATGTTTTGAGATACATTTCTAAGTGGATTATGAGTTCAAGATATGGTTCATACAATTATGTAAGTAGATAGAATGATATAAAAATGTTTTATCCTAAAATTCATAGTATTAGTCAAGAGCATAATAAAAACACAACTGTTTTCCTCATTTTGTAGAATCATCAGTGTGTTACACTGCTCTCCCCTTTTAATACAGGGAAAGAGATGTGCAGAAATCATATGACATCCTAAAGACCATATCAGTCTTCACCTGCCTGATCCAATACTGTCTAGTACTTGGAAGAATAAATACTTGGCATCATTTTCTTCCCTCCTCCCCCAACCTCCTTCTTTTCTTTTTTTAGTTTCTTCCTTATGCTCTTCCTCCTTCTCTTTCTTCCTCTCTCTCCGTCTCACTCTCTCCCTCACTCCTTTCCCTCTGTCCCTCCCATACTGAGAAGAGAAAGTGATGACTTCTGTACTGTAACACTCAAATCATTTCCTAAAATTATGTTGTGATTTATAGAATTGCCAAGCTAATTGGATTTTGACTCTTCCTAAGTTACTTTTAGGAATCCAGGCTCTTGGTCACAGTTGAAATAGGTGGACTCTAGAACTACAACTCAGATATATACATGACATCATAACACCAAATCATTGATAGTTATTCTTTAGTTTATTGATAGTTATTCTTTAGTTTATTAACAATAGGTTTATTGGCCTTATAGAAAAAGCAACAGATACATCTATAAAATGCATTCAAAGTCACTCAGTGAATTAAACTAAATAGGACAATGGCTGTGTTTATGGGATGAAAGCAATACCAGATCCTCAAATGATAAATTTTTGTCTGCCTTCAAAAAGCATGACAGCTAGGTTTATTCAACTCTTCCTGTACATGGAAAATAGTCTTCCTAAAAATAGAAAATAAACCCATATGTGGTTTAATTTCTATATACATCACCCATCCTGATAAATGAATCAGAATTATTTTAAGCTTAACATTTAAAAGAAACAGTACAATGACAGTGTTTATTAGCAGGAACAGTAAACTTCATAAGACTGGATGATCAAAAGCTAAATTTAAAAAACCGATTATTATTTGAATTGGCCTTGAAAGAAGAATTGCTTTGGCACATAGTATAAGAATAAGAACTGAGTACAAATGTGCAGAGTTTAACTGATGGTGTATAAAATTCACTAAAAGAAGAAATGTCAGGGAGTTGGACAACGTCTAGGGAGGCACTTTAATGGCCTGGACCTGATAACAGCCACTGTAATGACACACCTGGCAGTAACACAAGCAGGCTATAATAGGCAGTAGAGTAGGATCAAGAAGGGTGAGGTATGCAGACCTCGAGAAAACATGCCTTAAATTCACCTGGAACCAGAAGAGACCCAGAATAACAAAAGCAATCCTGGGCAACAAGGACAACTCAGGTGGAATCACAATCCCTGACCTGAAATTATACTGCAAAGCTACTGTCATAAAATCAACCTGGTACTGGCTAAAAAACAGACTGGAGGATCAATGGAACAGACTGGAAGAAACAGACACAACTGCAAACACACTCAGGCAAGTAATCTTTCATAAAGGGGCCAAACAAACTCACTGGAAGAACGATAGTTTCTTTAATAAATGGTGCTG